GATTCCGTCTTTATTCCTATTTAACTTGTTGCTTTCCGTCTCATCGTGTCTCCAGGCTCATCCACCTGCAGCATGGAGAACGAAACTTTCAATGCAGATATTATACTCATTGAGGGGTTAAAGGTCAGCCCCGAGTCCTCCGTTGTTGCCTTCGTCCTCCTCCTCGTCATCTACGTCTTCATCATGGTGTCCAACGTGGGCCTGGTGGTGCTGATCACCATGGAGAGGAGCCTCCATGAGCCCATGTACCTGCTCTTCTGCAACATGAGCGTCAACGACGTGTTCGGGGCGTCGGCCATCATCCCCCGCCTGCTGGGTTACGGCTTCACTGCCCTCTCTGAGCGCTACATCCGCTACGTGGACTGCGCCGTCCAGGCCTTCTGCGCTCACTTCCACGCCGGCACCTCTCACGCCGTGCTCATGATCATGGCGTTCGACCGCTACGTCGCCATCTGCAACCCGCTGCGGTACGCCACCATCGTGACCAACAGGATGGTGGTGAAGCTGTCCGTCGGGGCCTGGGCGGTGGCCTTCGTCCTAGTTGCCATCCTCCTGGGCCTCAGCGTCCGGCTGACGCGCTGCAGACGAGTGATAATCAACCCGTTCTGCGACAACGCCTCGCTGTTCAAGCTGTCCTGCGAGAACCTCCTCATCAACCACATCTACGGGCTCGGCAGCGCCGTGCTCATCCTGGGCTCGTCGCTTGGCAGCATCTTGCTCACCTACCTGAGGATCACCATGGTCTGTCTGAGCAGCAAGAACAAGGCGCTCAACAGCAAAGCTTTGCAGACCTGCGCCACCCACCTGGCCGTCTACTTGATCATGCTGGTTTCGTCCTTCACCCCGATGATAATGCACCGACGGCCTGATTGGGCGGACAACGGGAAGGTAGCCTCCGTCATGTTCCACGTCGTTCCTCCAGCCCTGAACCCACTCATCTATGGGCTGCAGTGCAAAGAGCTCAGGCAGAAGATCATCAGCGTGTTCCACAAGAACAAAGTCACGGGAGGCGAAAGTGCTTTGAAGGGACAAACTTTCCACAAATGACTCGTTAATGTGAACCAAAGCATCGTAGCATCGACGCTTTCAGGTTCAATTCCAAAGACTTTTATTTCAGCCTTGATTTTATATTTTGAAAAAGAAGAAGTGGTGAATAGGAATGTCCCAAAGAAATGATCCAGTCAGTGTCATTTAATATTTATCATCTGCACGTCCTGATAATACACACTTCAAGCTGTTCCTTAATGTTCTGCAGGTGTTCAGGAACCTTGTTGTAACGCCTCGGTAGGACGCTGTCTAAATGTCATGTTAGAGGGTAGGGTGTACTGAGGCTCCACACGCTCCAAAAGATGGAGAAAACCTGTTTTCTCTACATATATGTCACTAAATGTATCATAAACCTGCTGCTGTACCTGGTCGCTCCACCAGGTGGAGCCATTTGCTGTTTAACACTATAGAGGCCAGAGGATGCTGCAGTTTTAGGACCACAGTTGTAGAAGCCTCGTTTTTCATCAAAGAGCCATCGACTGAATTAATGAATTAATAATATTACAAACTAGGGTTTTAAAATGATATTCCACCAAAGTAGTTGGACTCGGTTGCAAAGAGAGCAGTTGGACGGAGGCGTCACATGACCCCTCTTAGCCCTCTTAGTAATAACTTTGCTGTTGAGTTAAAGACATCAAAATAGCTTTTAAACAAACCAGACTTGATTCACCTTCAGGCTGTGGCTGTCTGTGCTACTAGCTTAGTCACCTGGCCAGTAGGTGGCGCTGTTATGAACAACAGAGGTCCTGAAACTGGAGAGACACGTTACTCATCCTTCAGTTCATGTCGGCATTGCGGGGCAAAGGACGCCACAGCAACGACTGATGTGACACTAAATGACCTCCAACCAGAACTTATGTGCTGAAGATGGAGACCCTGATGCTTGAGATTGGATCAGAACATTTCTAAAGTGAGCAAACAGAGAACATGTCCTCTGTAAGTTTAATTAAATGTTTTGTTTTTAACGTGTAATATTCCACACACAGTTGTAGATAAACGATCGCTGTGTTCTGTTGTTCCAGAAGTATTAAACATCACGCTGCACACGTGAATAAAAACATTTTCAGTGTTTCCCCTCCTTTTTTTTTTTCCCACTCTATCTGATTAAGATACTGTTAATATGAATAATTTGCTTTCAATAAAAATATGTCTTGAATTTTAAAAAAGTATTTAGTTTGAACTTTAGTTGAAGCTCTTGTGGATTTTCTCTGCAGAGCACCGATCGTGTCCCGACCCCAGAGTACGAACAACGTGAGTCACAGCTGGTTTATGAGGTCGTTTGTCAGACGCTAGACGCTGAAACAGACGAAATGAGAACTTCTCACAGAAGCACAACTAAAAGTCTTAAAGTGAAAAACACAACCAATGGGTGCGTTTTCAGATGATTTAATTGGATTATTCTTAAATATACGTCATCAGTGAAACCAAAACCTTGAAAATGTCAAACAGCATCATATTAAAATCCAGGTTCCTCAAAACCAGATTGAAATGTGACATAAAGCAGGAAGGTGTGCAAAAAAACACGTCTCTGTAGTTTAAAGACATATTTATTAGTTACAAAACCACATTTACAGTCGTCTCATTTTACAGCCTGCGTGATAAATAAATGATCAGTAATATATACACACGTATCATTATTGTCATGAACATAATGAAACAATGAGAGTAAAACGGCTCCAGCTCTGTTCAAGTGACAGTTTTCCAGGACGTTACGTTGAAGGAGAGACGAGAAGCAAAAACATTCAAGCTGATCTTAAAACCACACAAACCCAGAATGAACAGATCAACCACCAAACGCCGACATGTTGAGATGAAACCGGAGAGTTTGTGACCGTGTTTTGGACCCGGATCTGGTTCGTCTGGATGCAGCACTGAGACATTAGCAGGAGGTTAAACACAAACTTTACAGCAAAACATAAAGCATCAGCTTTCTGATGGTGATTTTACATCGTCGTACATTCAGTGCTTCACCTGAAGACTCCACAGAATGAAGCTTTTCAGCGTTTTCCAGGGTTCTAACGGTACCGTGGCTCTAATGACAGCCAGGCGGGTCAGAATGACGCCACAACTTGTTTAGATCTGAATAGTTTAGACAAAGACTTGCAGATCTCTGCAGACTGGACGCCGTAGATGATGGGGTTCAGGCTGCTGGGGATGATGTGCAGCAGGATGGCGGAGAACTTCCTGTAGTCCGAGTACTGAGGGAACCGGTGCAGAATGATGACGATAAACCCGCTGAGCATCAGAACCACATACACCACCAGGTGAGTGCTGCAGGTCTTCAGGGCCTTGCTGTTCAGAGACTTGTTCCTGCTGGTCAGACAGACCACGGTGATCTTGGTGTAGGTCAGAACCATGGTGCCGATGGAGGCGGTGAACAGAACCACGGTGAAAACGAGTCCGTACACGTTGTTGATGAACACGCTCTCACAGGACAGCTTGAACAGCGAGGCGTTGTCACAGTACGGGTTCATGATCAGAGTCCGGCAGCGGTTCAGCCGGATGGTCAGACCGAGCAGAACCGCGACCCAAAGCATCGCCACCCCCCAGGCCGACACCGTCAGCTTCAGCACCATCCTGTTGGTCATGATGGAGGCGTAGCGCAGCGGGTTGCAGATGGCCACGTACCTGTCGAACGCCATGATCATGAGGATGGTGTGGGAGGTGGTGCCGAACATGTGGGTGGTGAACGCCTGGACCACGCACTCGTAGTAGCTGATGAGGCGTCTGGACGGAGGCAGCAGGATGTCGGAGAGCAGCCGGGGAACCATGATGGAGTTTCCCACAATGTCATTAATGGGCAGGTTGCAGAACAGCAGGTACATCGGCTGGTGGAGGTTCTTGTCCAGGAAAACCAGAACAGCAATGCCGATGTTTGTCACCATAATAAACATGTAGGAGAAGAAGAAGAAGAAAAAAGCCGGATACACCAGGACTTTGGACAACTTCAAGCCTTCCACCTGCAACGTGAAGCTGTTGTAGGTGAAGTTTTCCATCAACCTGCAAGAACAAAGATCAAAAATGAGATTAAACTTTATCCTCATCACCACAGAGTGAAAGCACCAAGACGACGACATCTAACCACAAGTGCAGCAGCAAAGTGCATCATTTACACTTTGTTAGAATATAAACACAGAATCTGTACATATCATATGTTCAATTCACAACAACAGTCATCTCATAGCGCTTCACAAAGGCAGAGACAGAAACACCCAACAATCCAAAACATCTGGATTCCCTATAAGCTTCATAATATATGGATATATGAGACAGACATACGGACACATGATGAAATCTACAGGTAGAGACAAACAGCGGTCTGCAGACAGTGTAAATAGTGCTGTGTGGTATAACAGTAGGAACATTCAGGAGGATATAAGACGGACAGAAATGATTTAAAAACGAAACACATTAAAACAAGGCAGGTTCAGATGAAAGCAGCAGAATGTACGTGTTGGATCGACTGACCTGCTGTGAGTCTGACGGTTCTTCAGTCTCGGTGGCTGACATCCAGCGACGAGGACGTCTTCCTCTGCTGCAGCGTTTATAGTCACCATCTGCTCTGAAGGGACTCGTTCACCGTCAACTCTGACGTCTGTGATGCAACACTTATGAAATCGCCAAATGGTGGCAACCTGAAGTCCAGAGAAGATAATTAACCAGGTAATTAAAGTGAAGGCGATACGACTCTTTGACCACAACGAGGTTGACATAAAACTAATATTAGCTTCATTAACCGTGAAGGCTTGTGATAAAGACACATGAGGTGCTATTTTATGTAACATTTATTATTCATATGGTCACGTTTTCTGGGATTCGTGTCACTTCATCCCTGCATTCATGTGGTTCTGCTGGAGGCTGGTCGTGGTTCAGGAGGAGCTTTTCCCCGTCACCATACACTCCTTATTGTGTTTTCCATACGCAGTTTTATAGGGTTTTTATTCCCTAATTAATTACTTAAAGTCATCATGCAATTTGAAAAAATACATAACATTGTTTGGCCTTGACCGTAATATTCAGATGAGTCGGGGAAATTTGTACAACAAACTATATTTTGTTAGGTAGCAGCATTTAGGAGCAACAAACAGCAACTGCATTTATTTTTGTATTATTTTGGTATTACACTTGTGAGGAATGAAGAACTGAAAGTAAAGAGTGTGCAGTGATTTCAACACTTGCTAACTGAAGAAATACCAGAGTCAATGCGCACAGGCTAACTTATGAATGCTAGTATTCTTGCTAGCTTAACCGACGATAACACAGCTGACTAAAGCTAGCTAAGCAGTAGCTGGTTTAATTCACCTGTGAGCTGAATTAAACCATAAACCAAGTAAAGAAACCAAATCTACACATTTGACAACATCTGCCAAGAAACTAGCAGGTAAGCTAACAAAATAAATAAACCAAAGTGGTGAAAAAATCAGGGCTCGATGCGTTTTTAAAAAATTGGCAGCAACATTGCAATACAGAGGCTGATCAGTTGTGCATATATCGACTGCGATTGCTGTTGTTTCAGTAATATCTAGTATTTAACTTGTGAAGAATGAAAAACACTCTTAATCAGAAGAAACACAGGAGCTAACAAGTACACGGTAAGTTTTCAATGCTCATTTTCTTGCTAGCTTGGCGGGTTACAGCTAGCTTAGAAGTAACTTGTTTAATTACAGTGTTAGATAAATTAGACTGTAAACCAAGCGAAAGAACCAAATATACACATTTCATAACACCAAACATGTTTGTTAAATCAACTGAAAACCTTTTTTTCCCCCCATTTTGTTTAAATTTACTGCTAATTGCTAACATTCGTTTTAGTCAAGTTAACAATCTAACTGCTGCAGTGAAAAGCGATAACAAGAGACTCCAGTATTTTTACTCAATGTGTGTGTGGAGGGTTTCATGGAGAGATTAGAAATAATTACAAAATAAGGCTAAATGTGTGAATGAAGAACGGCAGCAACGTTTCAATATGGACGCTGGTCAGGCCTGAATATATCCACTGTAACTGCTCTTGTTTGTAATATCTGGATTTTAACTTGTGACTAACTTGAAACAAAGCGAGTGGAGGGATTTTAACACTTTTGAACTGGAGAAATTCCTGAGCTAACGAGTACAACAAGTTTTGAATGCAAATATTTATGCTAGCTTAACTGATGATATCTCAGCAGATTACAGCCAGTTAGGACAGGATTTTCACTTCATGGAGGGTTTCAAAGTGTAAAAGTTAAAAATAACAGTCAGCTACGTTGCGGTTTGTGGGCTGGTCAGGTGTGCACGAGTGTACTGCTTTTATATTTCAAATATCTGGCATTTAACTGACGGGGAATAAAGTACTGGGGTCAAACAAAGAGAGTGTAGTGATTTCACCACTTTTGCTTCAAAGAAATACTGGCAATAAGAAGTACATGGTAAGTTTTGAATGCTAATATTTTTGCTAGCTCAACCGGTGATGACGCAGCTAATTAGAGATAGCTAACAAACAGCTTGTTTAATCAACCTGTTAGCTAAATTAGCAGGTAGCCAAACATACTTTTTCAATGAACTTTTGCCAGTTTGTTAAAATTTGCTGGTCATTCCTAGCTAACGTTAGCATTAGCCTGGTTAGCAATCTGACTCCTGCATTGGCAAATGATAACGTCTGCATTTCACTAGATGATGTGAAAGCTTTCATGGAGAGATAAGGACTAAAAATGCAAGTATATCTATTGTAACTGCATTTACTTTTTAAATAAGGGTAAATATAACTTTGTAGGAGCAAAAATCTGGGCGATAAAGACTGTGGAGTGATTTCAACACTTTTTAATCAATGAAGTTTGGGAGTCAACGAGTACACGGTAAGTTTTGAGTGCTAATTTTCTTGCTAGGTTAACCAATGACAACGCAGCTAATTCCAGCGAGTGAGGAAATAGCTGGTTGAATTACATGTTAGCAAAATTAGATCATAAACCAAGTAAAAACATATATATATATATATATATACCCGTATGATAACAAGTGCAAGGAACTTAGCAGGTAAAACTTAACATAAGGCGTTTTTGTCTCATTTTGTTAAAGTGTTCTGGTCATTTCCAGCTAACAGTAGCATCAGTCTGGTTAGCAATCTAGCTAGAAAATGCTAACAAGAAACTCCGCTGCTTTTACTAAATGTGTGTGAAAGGTGTCCTGGAAAGACAAGAAATAAAGTATAAGGATAAATATGTTAAAAATAATTGGCAGCAACACGGCGCTTGTTTTTGTATTATCTGGCATTTAACGTGTGAGGAAGGAAAAACTGGTGTGAAACAAAAACAACGAAGTGACTTCAACAGTTTTGAATGGAAGAAATAGAGGAGCTAACGAGTATACGGTAAGTTTTGATGCTAAAATTCTTGCTAACAACAATAACTAGGCTGATTACAGCTAGCTAGGAAGTTGCTTGTTTAACGAACCTTTTAGCAGAATGAAATCATGAACCAAGTGAAGAAACCAAATGTACACATTTGATAACATCTAGCAGGAAGTCAGCAGGTAACCAAACATGTGGTAAATCCTAAAACTAAAAGCAGAGCATCAGCCTGAGTAGCAATCGAACTAATGCGATGATAAGTCCGGTATTTTCACTAAATGTGAGGCTTCCACGGAGAGATCAGATAAAAGGTCTTAAGTTAAAGGTGTAAACGTTTGGCAGCAGGTAGCAGACGTGGGCCTTCATCTCAGCATGTCATTGTTTAATGAGAAGCTGCTTAACCCTCATGCTGCGTTCATGTCGTGTCAAACTATTCGGTGTTCTCGGTTAGAAATGACTGTAGCATTAAGACTGATCATAAAACCTGTAATAATGCGCATGTTGTTTGTTGTGGTAGATTTTTCTTTATTAACTCAAGTTCTTGTAACAAGTTTTAAACTTCTATTGGTTATTTATGGCATGTATGCCTCTGATCTGACACATCCTGAAGTTGAGGTCTAAAAAACATCATTTCTGGATTAGTTTGACAAATACAAGCCGATGTGCATCACAGACGATCAGTTCTGAAAACATTTAACATTTCTATACAGTCAGAAGTGACCAGGAAGATTTTATTTGTGTACAAAGGAAATTATCCCAAAAACTTCATAATTTAACACATTAAAGAACAAATAAGAACAATAACATGACAGTGTTCATGCACGGTGGCTCAGTGGTTAGCTCCGTTGCCTCACAGCTAGAAGGTCGCCGGTTCGTCCCGTTTGGATCTTCCTGCGTGGAGTCTCCATGTTCTCCCCGTGCAGCCTGGGTTCTCTCCAGGTTCTCCGGCTTCCTCCCACAGTCCAGAAACATGCTGAGGTTAACTGTCTCTCTGTGCAGCCCTGTGATAGGCTGGTTACCTGTCCAGGTGTACCTGAGTCAGCTGGGATAGGCTCCAGCGACCAGGTGCAGCGGTGTACAGACCAGATATCAGATGTGTTCAGGCCTGACAGCAGGTGGAGTGAATTAACTCAAACGTTTTCTGATGCACACGTTGGAACACGTGCAGGTTGATGCATGTACATGTATTTATGGAACATCATGCTTGTTTTCTGGTTTCTCGGTGAACACACACTTCCTGTTGTCACCTCTCTGTCTGGCAGCAGGTGAGCTCAGCCTTGTGTCTCACCTCCTTCCTAGATTCACCTCCATCCACAGCACGGTCTGGGTTCTGTATCGTCACCAGTCTCTGACCCATCCTCACTGTCAGCTTCATGGCCTCACGTCCAGGATGTGGACCTGCCATGGTGCTGGCCCACAATCAGCTGTGAGCGAGGCCTCGAAAAGCCTGACGTGTCGTGTGGGTGAGACTCTTCTGGGTAAAGGTTCCCATAGAGGTTACCAGGGAACCCAAAGTGTGTGTGTGTGTGTGTGTGTGTGTGTGTGTGTGTGTCTCCCCCATTCATTTCTAATGACGGTAACACTAAGAGAAAGTTAGAATAAAAAGTTGAATAAAACACAAAACCTTGTATGTACATTCATATAATTAGTTTTCCTTGTAGAGCCTGAGGTCCGTCTGATCAACTTCACTACATTTTTTCAGAGAGAAAACGTTTAGATTGGACCAGAACACCACGAAGGTTGAAGACGACACAAAGACCTTCGTATGCGTCTCGAGCTTCTCGGTGATGAATACTGTGTTAGAGAACTTCATCTGAATCCAGATCAGCCTCTAGCTGGACGGTAACACCTTTCTGAACTCAAACTTCTTTGAGAAGAACTTTTTGATCTCTGCAGACTGGACCCCGTAGATGAT